AGGGGAACGCTCGTCACTATACCAGCAGTCTCACCTTCCCACCCACTAGTCAATCTTAAACTGCGGCGACCACCGCGGGGCGGGGAGCGACACGGAGTATCGAACAGAATTTTCTACAGTAAAACAGCTGCTACCTCAGCTCCGAAGGGGGGGGGGGCGTGAAGGGCCCCTCGCCCCCTCCCACCTCCCTGGATCCGCCAATGACTCCAGTCGAGAACTTCCATCCTTTTAAGCATTTTTATCAGTGTCTTTGCTTCCTTGCATTCAGCGTGTTATTGCTTTTGGTACTCCGAGAACACTTGCAGATATTTGGGCTTTTGTTTGTTTGTTCATTTGCTTTTTGTTTTTTCCGAGTCAAAAAAGATTTTTTACATGCCTTTTGCCGTTAAATGAATGCTGTTTCTGCTTCGCGAAGAGCAAAACTCGAGTTTGTTTCTTTTTTATAGTTTGCTAGAGATTTTCTTTCATTTTTCTGGAACTGCTTAGGAGTCTTGCAAAAAACCGGTTTTGTTTCTGGTATGCTGGTCGCTCGAGTACAAATTTACCACTTATATATTCGGCGAATCACATAGAAATTAGTTTTCTCAAGTGTGAGACTCCGACTTAACTTGCGGAATTTAACAAGCGTATTACTCGGCTTATAACTGTCATTTCCTTGAATTCTCAGACTTTACTCCAGGAACTTAACGCTAAGGAACTTTTGTGCAGTTTGGTGAATGAAGTTGGTCATTCCGTTAATTCATTCCTTGCTTTACCGGAAACGAGCCGGGATGGAAATTTGCGTTCACGATCGCATGAAGACCATCAGGTGTGTTTGTTACCGCGAGTACCAACGATCATGCACACTGCTGGAAGGTTTACGTGGGGGTGACAAAATACGGCCTCTATTTTCCATTTTTGGTAACATTTATATTATCCCAGGCCTGCGAGACAGAGCGGAGACATTCCGTAGCTTGGCATGGCACAGTTGCTGGGGCAGCTTTAGAACTTTGGTGTTGCATTTTTAATTCGAGACGGAACAGACGAATGCCGATCCTGAACAACGCTTCGCAGTAATGTTAAGGCGCTTGCACTTATACACATAGACGGATCCAAGACGGTCTCTTGGGAGAAGAGGAAGTGAGACTCCTGGGAGGAGGGAGG